TGGCGTGGGGAGAGGTCTGAGTAGGGGAGGACACAGGATAAGATCGAAATTGTGTGGATGAGAATGTGACATCGATTTTTTTTCTAATAGGACTCACTGTACATGCTACCCTATAAGGCTAAAGTTGTATTCTTTGTGGGACAAAGCTAGATAGCTAGAATAATTACATGTTACTTGGAGATGTTAAAGTTTTTTACCAAATACTTGTTGAGTATATGTATCAAAAAAATACTAAATTTTTTTATAGTAACCTGGTGCTGTTGCTGCTTAATTTGCTGGTGCCACACATCCATATCTCCGGCCTGATCAGTGATCCCATAGCCATATATAGCTAGGCCAAGCATATCGACCAGCTGTCCTCGCTCTCATGGCCGCATGCGGTTGGCAATAAGCTGGGAAGAAAAGCCCCCCCAAAAAAGCTACTGAAGCAGGCAAGCAGCTCACTCACTGACGGTGATTGGTGGTGTAGACGTACGTACTATCGCTAGGGATAATTATTGACGCGATGGATCGGAGAAGGCACCAAGCTAGCAAGCCAATTTAGGAATGCATGAAATTGATGGATGTAGGGCATGCATGCATGTGATGATGTGAATCGATGTGATGGATATTGTGGGAGATGTGGAGAGCCCTGCGATGCGATGCGATGCAGGCACTCTTGCTGTCTACAGTCGGTCGACTACCTGCTTTTGTCACTTTTGCATTCACAAGCTTCGTGTCCGTGCGTTGCTACGGGACAGCTAAATGTTTGTACTAAAAACACACGGATAGCACGATAAGATAATAATACTGTGAAATTAAATACCGATGTTAAAGTGACATTTAATCCAAAAGGCAATATTCGTGAAATTAATACAATCATAAAGAGCGCAGCGTCGCAGGCTCACAAACTCTACTGTATAGACCTTTCCGTGATGCGGCTAAGATAATATTTCATATCGGCACGAAGAAATCTCCGATATCCATTTCTTTCGTGCGTCAATAAATCTACGAATAAGTTTCGCCACATTTTCATACCATCATGTACACAGGTTCGAGTATATATGTAAATATTAGTGTATGTTAACATGGTTTAAGGCACGTAATGACACTAAAGCATTTCTTCCACCAATTAAAGATAAGTTTATTATAGATCGTTGCTTTCATACAAGTGCCAATGAAGTCAACCAGAGGCATTGCTTAAACAAAATGAGCTTATTGTGAGTTTCCTGTATTTATTTCCAGGAAGAGACAACTTAAAATTTCCAATTTCTTCTAGCATGAAAAGGAAGTCTTTAGCAAGGAGCTATTAATTTTCTGAGAACTGGAGATGATCGCTGATGGCAAAGGAAGTTTCTGCAAAGCCTCTAAAATTGGAATGCTATCATGTTCTAGGTGCAGATTCTATTGATTCTGCCCTACATACCATCCTACTCAAATTTGTTGGAAGGCATGGTTAACCGCAGCAGTACCTGAACTGTTGACTTTCGTCACTCTTCTCGTAGAATGCCTCGAAGGTGGACTCCCCTTTCAATGCGACCCAACGTCTTCCTCATTTGGTAGTACTGAGGCATCAACCAGGTTGACAAGGCACTTAGAATTTAATCTACAGAGATGAAGTATAGTGAGTTTCTATTTATCAAGACGGTTATAAATTGAAAAATGCAATATACAATCTGTGTCCCTTTGAAGCTATCATACCTGTAGTTAAAAAGGGGTAATGATAGACCCATGTGTTTCGTTGAACTGAATTAGAGCATGACCTACAGATAGAATAATGTTCTGCATTCATATTCTAGCAATAGGTAGCCAAAAAAAGATTGCTCATGCAGGCATCCATGCATGTCAAAGCCGCCACTGAAGAGTAGTCCCTAAGAATGCATCTTTGCTAATTCAGGATTAAATAATAGAGATAAGTCGAATTCACCTAGTATGTTGACATGGCATCATATAATATTAATAATGACAGAAAAAATTCTTGTATCCCAACCAGATAAGTGAAGAAATAGTGCACTATATATTGTTGTTTTGAGGATGATCCCTTCAAGTTTCACGCTGGCAAACTGGAGTAGTATAGGGGAAAGTGTTAAGCATTAGGTATATGCTAAAATTCTATTAAACGTAATTAAAAGAAAAAAATCATTGTCTATTGATCCTTGACAGCATTGTTTATCATAGCCAATTTATCCTGAGCAATGTTGCATACAGGAGCTAACTTTTTAGTTTCCGATGATCACAAATGGATGACAACTTGATGATCAAAATAATGTATGATTAGAATGTACTCTACTATAGGCAGCTCAAGTACTAAGATGAATATCACAAGCATCTTCTGAATATTATTAGCAAAAAAGTTTCTGAATAAAAGAACAGAAGCAATAAATTATCCTGGATTGATCAGGTCATCAATGTTGGCAATCAGTATCCTAGCGCTACCTTCACCTGACCAAATTGCTGTGCATTGAGTGATATTTTGTTTAAAAGCAAGGCAAATATATAGCCATGTTCACCTGACCAAATTGTTGTGTGTTCCATCATGTGAGACAACTACGTTGTGACATCTGCCTACCGAAATTGGCATACTGTTAATAAAGCAAAAACAGAAGCCGTAAGGATATATAGAACTAAATGAGAAAAAATCACTATGAATAGTTCTGACTGGCTTTCCCAGCACCCATGCTGATAGACAGGATTTACCCAGCACACATGATGGCATAGTTAAGTTCTTGAATCAAGAAAAGAGAGGCATCCAAGTTTGCATTTACATATACTATAATAAACAAACACAAAAAACATACTTCTAACCTTCAAAACAAATAACTACGTAACAGGTACATGGATCATCTAAACATGCATCAATTACATGTAAATAACGACCTGCACAGACTCTCCCTTATGGACAAAAGTAAAGAAAAGGGACATCTGCACCTGTGACTACATGCTCATACATGGGTTGGCTTGCTAAGGATGAGGTTTAGAGCATTCGTCTATATTAGCAAACAAGCACATACTTACCATTAGCATTGTTGAGCGATGCACTCAACGAGAACTAAAAGCTCCTGCAGTGCATGGTAGTGGTCCTCCAGTGAAATAGAGGAATCATTTAATAAGGAAGCAATAGCAATCTTCATCAACACAGCAGGGGATGGCATCTTTAACTTCTCAATCAGTTCTTGTAGGGAAGTTGTTTGTATAAAGATAAGGCAACCACTAAAAAAATTGTTTTTACATCTTTCAAACATTGGTCTGGACCCTGAAGATCAACTTTACAACTAAGAGAAATAGGAGTTTCAGGAAAAATCCTAAATTAATGGAAACAAAACTTAAAGAGAATTCTAATTTTAAATTAAAAATATTCCCTCAGCCCTGTAGTAGTCTTGTCACCTTAATCTCCAACTATTATATGAGAAACTCGAACCCAATACTATGTCCAATTCTTTTGTCCTTCTCTCAACTTATCTGAAGCTGACTCCCTTCCCACATCAATGAAGTCGTATGAAAACACGAATAAGCACAGGTCGCAATTTTCAATAAACAAATTGAACCAGATTATAAAATAACACAGGTTCAAGCGCTACCGGGATTTGCATCCTCCACGCACTTGGATGGCTGGACTTGACATTGCTGATTGCTCTCCCAGCACAAATGGCCAATGCTCTCAAAGGTCGTCAACTTGTTACACATACTCCCATGCCTTTAACCCAGGACCACGCTTCCACAGCAGCAATCTTCAACATCCCAAGTACTATCTAAGCTAAGTAACTTCCCTCTGCTATCAATTCCACTAAAATCTACTGGTACTGAAAAGTAACAACTAACAACTCTCATACCAGCAATCTTTACACACCCACCCCAGGAAAACACTCCACAAGAAGCAACATCACACAGGCGCAGTTGCTCGTAAGCAGGTGCCAATATTTGCAGAAGTGGCAACAATCAGGTTGGTGTCAGAATCGATAGAGATAATTACCGTCATCTAGGGCGATCACGGGGAAGTCAATCCACACCTCGGGGCATGCCGCGAGGGAACAAGCTGCTCCCACAGCATCATATGCGATCTGCATGACAGCAGCAGGTGGAGGCAGGGCTGCGGTGGCCTGCTGTGATTCGACCGCAGCCAAGGCGGGGGTGGTCAGACGCTAGGAGGGGGGGTTGCGGCGCAGGAGAAGCCCCCACGGAGGGAGTCGCCGATCTCAGCGAGGTCAGAGAGGATGCCCGCGAGGAGCAACGGGGATGATGGCGCGGCGAGGTGCGTGGACGGGGAGTGGTGCGAGGACGCGGGTTGGTGGCGGCGGCGCGCGGCCTGACGGCACTGGTCGACGCAGTTGCTGTGGTGCAGGGACTTCGCCTACTGCTGGCTGAGGGATCGGGAAAGAAGGAGAGGGCGAGGGCTGAGGGATCGGGAAGGAAGGAGCGCGCGTCGGGGGGGGTGGCGCGTGAGTTGAACTGTTTGGAAGGAAGGATCGGGAAGTAATGAAGCCTGATTGACGTGCATGATTGACTATCGGAAGGAAGCTCACATAAAAAGCGGGAGCCAGACGTAGCGAGTTTTTTTCCTTCCTTTTGAATTTTGTCGCGAGGGACAGGCGTAGGAATTAGGAATGAGGGGTACGGATCGCAGCAGCCAGAACCATGGACACGTGGTAGAATATCGCACCAAAACGGTATCACTTTTTAGTTTTTTTAGTTGCGAGAGAAGAGACGACGGTCACAGTCACACACACGGATCAAGCATATCTGCCACCACAACCTGACCCAGGAAGACGATACATACAGCAATACTCCAGTAAGTCTATGTTCCGTGGACTAATAACAGGTGATCGAATCCACACACCAGTAGTAACAGCTAGATTAATGGTAGGTAGGTACGATGAGTCTCATCTCATGAGACCCGGCCGTACGTACTTATTACTCGGCATGGTAGCCAATTATATTAATCTACGGTACCAGTCCATACTCCAAAGTCCTCAAGCTACTAGCTCTGCAGATCCCAATGCATGCAAGTTCGGCCGGCCGGACTACTAGACCTCTCTGTCGTCGTCGCCCTGATGCTCGCCCAGCTCTAGGCGGCGAGGGGAGCAGCAAAGGAGGAAGCCGGCGACGAGCAGGTTCACCGCGAGGCAAACCGAGGCGAACACAACGTCGACGATGATGTCCGTGTCCCCGGGGTCGGCGGCGAGGAAGATGCGGTCGGAGGCAACCACAGTGTAGTGCATGCCCGCCGTGGCCGCCAGCGCTACCCAGGCCAGGGCGTCGACGGCGGGCGTCCAGCGGCTCGTGGTGCTCGTCCTCGTCGTCAGCACCATGTGCAGCGGCGCCGCCAGCACCACGGCCGCGCTGCACAACAGCTGCCCGTACAGCAGGAAGCTCAGCTCCGCGGCCGCCGCTTCGGTCAGCGCCACGCACCGGAACAGCCACGTCGACTGCCCGCATGCACGTTATATGGTGATGAGGAGGCCATGCACGAATTTAATTTATGCATGATGAATGGATGGATGGATGTACCTTGGTGCAGGGGGTGCGGTTGAGGAGGAGTGTGGCGATGTCGGAGGCGGCGAAGACGACGGCGCTGATGAGGGCCCACACCCAGACCATGATGAGTAGGACCGGGACAGCGACAGGTGGAGGCGACACCTTCTCCTTGTCCTTGGACACCGTCGGCAGCGAAGCAGCAGCAGCCTGCAGGTTGTTCTTCATCACCTTGTTGTCGGCCATGGCCACGCCTTGTTGTTCACCTGCAAGGCTGCAACCCGGACACGGACTACTGGGAGGTTTCAAAGGGATATGGGACGTACGGAACATGCACGGCCGGAAGGAAGGGACCACGATGATGGACATAGACTCACCGGCGGTGGCTGTGGGAGGATCGCCGGCCGGATTGACTGCTTGTAATGGAATGGATCGCCGGATCGATCGACTGCTGCAGGATGCGATGCGACGGGGTCGGACGGATGGAGGTCAGCAATAATAAGCAAGAAAAGAAACGAAACCAAACGAAAGAGGTGATAATCGAGCAAGCAAGAATCTATCGACGATGACCTGCTGAGATGCCGGTCCGCCGAGACCACCGGCGGCCGGGAATGAAGAAGAAGATGATTAGATCTCGAGTGCAGTGGGAGGCACTAGGGTTGGGACTAGGATGTCCCTATATAAAGGGAGGGAGATGTGGGCGGCCGACGCGTACGCGTGCGGGCGTGAGTGTGAACACATACCCCACCTGCTGCTTCAAGTTGAAGCACTGTGGCTGCTAAGGCCTTACACTGCTCGACACGCGTACGCACGTCATGTATGATCGTCCATCACTTTTCCCTAGCTATACTTCCTTTCTAGGCCAGTCGCTTTTCTCTTTAATTTATTTGCCAATAATCCAGAAACCATTTATCTCGAGTGCATTCCTGAATCTCAATATACAAGTCCTGCTAAATCCCTTACTACTTTGCATTAGTACTATTAGTTACTGTCTAGCTGCTAGCTCTTCATTCCATCATTCATGCATAAGCTAGCAATTACAAGTTCGCCCATGCATGCTTAATTGGTTTTGCAGAGAGAGGAAAGCGCCAAAAGCCAAAAAAGTACGTACCTATTTACCCTTTTATTTGTCGTGATAGCATATTTTACCTTTTTCATCTTTTTTTCCTCTCCATTCACTTCAATTAATTAATTTGCTGACAGCAAAGCAAAAGGTATGTGGTGCGTATTTACCTTTTTGTTGTGAGAAAGCAATTGCTTTTCTTGTACTATGCTTTGCATGTATTGTAATTTGGTGTTTATATGTGAGTACAGTATATCTATATTAATCTAATCAATATTCAGCCAATCAATGGCTTAGTAATTTCCTCGAACAAATTATAACTGGAGTTGCTAACTAGCACACCCAACTTATTACTATCTACCATATAGATGTTACCATGCATGCACCGTGCCTGACCCAGCCACGAAGCAATTGCATACGCGCGCGCAGCATTTGACAACTAGTAACATGCATCCATGTGCAGTGCGGTACATATAGTGCATGCTCTGTGCCAAAATTTGGATAGGAGATGATGAGTCATGCATGACCCCACATCTCTCTCAGTAGACACTACAGGAAAACGCCTCTTTGCCGACTGCTTGCCCCGGTCGGCAAAGGCATAAACCCAGTCGGCAAAGGCTTTGCCGACCGCAAAGCCACGTGGCAGTCGGCAAAGAGCAATCGGCAAAGCCTGGGTCGGCAAAGGCGGATTTGCCGACTGCCACGTGGCACACAGTCGGCAAATCCTTTGCCAACCGCCACGCCAATGATCGGTAAGCATAGTTACGTGGCGCCGTCAATACCGACGGAGAGCTTTTTGCCGATCTTTGGTTCCTCGGCGATCGGCAAAGAATTATTTTTTCAAAATTGTTTGCCGATCGCCGCCAAATTTCGGCAATCGGCAAAGAAAGAATTTTTTTTTTGAAATGTTCTTTGCCGATCGCTTTGAGTTGCAATCGGCAAAGATTCTTCTGAGGTTTTTGCCCAGCTTTTGCCGATCGTAAGCAATCGGCAAAGCTGGAATTTTTTTTTTGCCGATCGCTTTCGGAGTTGCGGTCGGCAAAGATTCTTCCTGAGTTTGTTTTTGCCTTTTGCCGATCAGTAAGCGATCGGCAAAGCTGGATTTTTTTTTTTGCTTTTGTTTTCTATTTTCTTGCATCAAAACCCTGCAAAATCACAAATTATAATCCATTTTCACCAGAAGCACCGGTAGCACCATTTATATCATAATTTCATCACATTTGTCGCCAACATCACCACATATATCACAATAACGCACAACATCACATATATGTCACAATAACAACCACACAAGTGCATTACAACCATCACATGAAGTCCAACACGTCGAACACCACAAGTCGACGTCCATCACACGAAGTTCAACATAACAAGTCTAGGTCCATAACGAAGAAAAGAAATACATGACAACAACTTCGACGATACGGTGGATACATGATAACAGAATCGACAAGTACCTAGCTCGTCGCGCCGTCCCCGGTCTCGTCGTCCGCTCCGCCCCCAGAGCCCCCAGGGTTTGCCCACGGAAACCCCCTTGGACCAAATCGAGGCGCGCTGCAGATCGCCACCCCACCCTAGCGCATGCGGCCACTTAGTATCGTCGGAGGAGGGCCACGCGGAGGTGGATACGGTGGATAGGGTGCGGTGGTGGATACGACATCATCATCGATGGCGGGACCTCCAGAGACGGGTTCGAACCCGCCGATCGCATACTGCGCAAGTTAAACGCCAAGTGATGTCATTAGTATCTGCAGCATGGACGCACAAGTTAAAGCCAAGAGTCAAAAACCTCACGGGGGTCCCTCCGGGAGCGCCAGGAGCGGGCACAGGAAAAACTCGGGGGAGGAGGCGGTGGAGCGAACATTGGAAGAGGAGGCGGTGTAGACGCCCCCGGCGTCTGCATGGACCGGAAGAAGCTGGCCATGTTCTTGCATCTGAGTGTTGTAGTGCTGCTGCAGGCTTTGCTGGTAAGCCATCTGTTGCGCCATCATCTTGGCGTGCAACGTGGCGATCCTCTCCTCCATCTTGGCCTCCATCTGGGCCTCGCAATATTACATCCGCAGTGTTGATTGTATGTACAAAAGTAAACGAGTGAACGAGTGAACGAAAACGGCACTTTACCGTGACGCCGGCCGCCGCCGGGCGCTTACGGGATGTCGCTGGAGCTCGTGGGCGTGGATCGAACCTGGGTCAGCGTAGGAACCTGGGACGGGTCGAGGGCGCTGTGGGCCATGTAGTAGCGGCCGTGCTGCTTCCCTAGTCCCAACCTCTGCAGGAGGTCTGTGTCCAGGGGCTCGGCGGTGGGGTCGAACGTCTCCCCGTATGTATTTGGCGAGCCGCGACGGTGTACTCGGTGGCCTTCTCGTAGGCGGTGGGGTTGGTGTACGCATCGGGCCCGTCCTCCGGGTTTGTAGACGTTGTTTGGATCCGTCGCCTTGCCCTTGTGAGAGAGGAGGTACGCGGTGTACTCGTTGATTTCGCCCACCGCGTGCGTCTGCGTCGCATTGAAAACACAAACATGGTTACAAGTATTGACAATTGAGCGCAAGGATTAAGACATGAACGGACGATACCCATCTTGTCGTGAATCGGGAGGGGCTGATTCCCTTGGTGGTGTGACACCCCTCGACTCAAGGCTGCGGCGGTTCCTCGACGGTCGGCGGCGCCTCGCGCGCCTCATCCCGTGCGCCACATGCGCACAATCTCCGCCCGGCATTCCTCGTGGTTGTCGCACCACGACGGACACACCGCATGACATCAAGTATTTGACATGCGAGAAGATTAGTGTAATGTTTCACTGAAGGAATGCGAGCGAATGTTGTCATACTTAATTACACCTTTCGATTGCGCTTGGGTGAGGTCGGCCTCCCTCGAGTTCATTCTCTGGCGGATTTGGGGCTTCTTGATGTTCTCTCCAAGCACGTTAAGCGTGGAAGTCGCGGATGGCCTGTAGCGCGCCTCATTTCATACATGGAGTCCTTGAGACGATCTTTGCAGACCGCCTCCACGCACTCGCGTCGCTTGGGCCGCTTTTACCCTCCTCGCGACGTGAAGAAGTCCCGCACACGACACATCATGTAGCATTTCCTTTTTGCAAGAAGTCCGACGAATGCGTACTATTTAGCAATGCGGTGCGATGAAAGACTCACCCAAAACTCCTCTTTATCTTTGCCACGATGGTCTCGCCACCCTCCTCGACGAGGTAGAAGTGGGACCACTTGGTGGGCACCTTCATCTCGCCGTTGACGTTGACAAGGCTGTGGTAGTACTCCTTAATCAGGAGGCCACGGATGCCATTGATATGGCGTGCTTGACCTGCTCCACTCACAATCTTCCGTGAAGCGCACGAGTCATTAAGAATAATTGTTAGTCTTGATTCGATTTTGACATGTCATATGAACAAGTAGTGAAATCAATAATGGTTACTTACGCTCGCCCATGGGTGTGATCACCGGTATTTGGTGGAATTGCGGCCGCACCCTAGGAAGCTGCGTGGGCCGCGATGAGTACACCTTGGCCACGCCGACGAAGTCGGGCCGCTCGCGCGTGTAGGTAAGCGCGTCGTCGCCGTCGTCGTCGTCGTCGTCGTTGTCGTCGCGTCGTCGCCGCCGCCGCGCTTGTAAATCACGCTGACGCCGTCCCCCCTTGCGAGGACGAGAACGACAACCTCCTGGTCGCCTGGCGATGTCCGCTGGGGGGCTGGGACCCCCTACTGGACGACCCGCGCACCAACACCTCCTCCTCCTCCTCGTCGTGCCGTCGGCGGGTCTCTCTGCGGGGGACACTGTACGCCGAAGCGTCGTCTTGCTTCGATGCTGGCATTGCCGCCGTCCGCCTGGCATTTTGCCGAGTGCCTGCAATGACAAAGAACAAAACTGTTAGCATAAATAAATGACAAGTACTTGTAAAGGAACATAATAATAACAATATAGTATTACATGGCCTCGTAATTATCTCCGCGAACGGCAATATCTCGGGCGTGGAGTCGTCATCTCTATCACTATCGTCGTCATCGCTATCAATATTGTCGAGCTCCCTTAAGTCATCACTGTCATCATCATCCTCATCGTCTCCATAGTCATCATCATGTACCTCCTCCTGGACAACTCCATCATGTTGCATACGCCATCGCTCAAGCATTCTTAAGTCCACGCATCCTGCACCTCCTCACCCTCGTCCTCAT